AACTAGTCAATGCCGACAGCACTAAATCAAATCTACATTTTATTCTAATATTAGGGGCTGCATGGCGGTGCAGTGGTTAGCGCTGTCGCGAAGAGGTATCTGGTTTGAATCCCTGTTGAGACAGGATGCCTGTTAGGTTAACTGTTGACTCTAAACTGTCTGTAGGTGTGAATGTGAGAGTGGCTGGTTGTCTGTCTCTATATGTCAGCTCTGTGGTTGGCTGGTGAACAGTCCAGATTGTAACCCCGCCTCTCGCTTAATGACAGCTGGGATCAGCTCCAGGCCCCCATGCCCCCGAATGGTGGTAAAGAAAATGGAGGGATGATTTCCATATTTAGACTATATTATTTAGTCTTCTTCCCTTCACTTAACAAAGATTATATATTGTACCATTGTGCTCCAATGCTGCAAAGACATGTTGACTTAACCTGCACAGGCAAGAGCTCAACTATGCAACGTGACAACAATAGTAGCCGACATGTTCATGCAAAACGAACGAAGGGGGAACAATGGTCGCCTGGAAGACGAAGAAAAAGCATCTGTTATGTTTGGAACGTGTTCAAAGGAACTCCTGCATGGTACACTGGGAATCTCCCTTCACAGGTGTGGTGTCGACTCTCTACCTGTCGATAAAAAGGATGATGGTGTCCTTGGTCTTCATCTCCTCCAGAGCTTCCTTCAGGAGTCGAACCTTCTGACCGCCACCTGGAGCCGTCATGTAGTCGCCTCCTTTCCATGTCTGACCACGACCGAGGACCTGAAGACACACAACACCTCACCTGTCAAGTTCTGCTTTATTTTCTGATTAAAAATGAGAGCATAGAAAAGTCCTAAAGGCACACACACAATGATGCAAAGTTAAGACTTCTTTCATGGCTAGACAGCAGAGGGGGAACTTGCTACAGGGCTTCTTACCTTGACGGTGTAGTTAAAATGTTTCGCAGACCTCAAGAACCGCTTGAAGCCGCCCGTCTCTTTCGTCGCTACTGTCAGAACGAGAAGTTTCCCTGCGAGACATCAAATCAGAAAAGGAATTCAGAAAAAATGATACTGTAAGTGGAATGTGTCTTTTTCTTTAGCCTGAGGGATTAAATGTGCTGACAGTCAACATGATGTACGACTTTAATGTGCACAGAGCGAGTCACCACGCAGACATACATCTGACAAGTGTCAGCTTCAAGATCATAAAAATTTAAACTTTAACACATGCGGACATAAAAGGTAATGAACGAGCTGCAAGGTTAATTAAAAAGCGGCTCACTTTTGTGGATCTTGCAGAGTGCATTAAAAGGTACAAATTACAGAAGAAGAGTAAATCTGAAGCTCAGAGGCGCTGCTTGTCAACAGGCAAGGCAGGCAACTGCTCGGGGCCCCAGACCAGTAGGGGGCCCCCAAGGGCTGAAAACCCTTAAACCACAGCAGTGGCTCAAAATGTGCACTATTTGCAATGACTGATACGTCCCTTTGGGGGCCCCATCATCTTACAACCTTCACTCTCCCTTGAAAACAAACATTTATGAACACCTTCGACCTTCATGATGATTGATGATGATATTTAGGAGGTTTCTGACGCTGATCAGAACTTTCAAGAACAGCTGTCCATGTTGTTGTTGATGACGATATATTAACTTTAATTATGAAAATAAAAAAGTGCTCTGCCTCTGGTCACTTCCTGTCAGCACCTGTGTGTCCAATCAGACTTAAAGCTGTGTGTTTGAACTTCCTGACGTTCTTTCCTCCTCTCTCTTTCTTTCCTTTGTTCTTACTCTCTGACGTTCATCATTTTGGATAAATGAATTGTAGAATTGATTTGTAATAAAAAAGGGCTTGTTAGAAGGTTTGTTTTAAAAGAGTTTGAGCTCTGTTGTAGACGTCCTGTTTCCTCTTCATTACAAACTGGCTCAAGCTACCTGCATTCATTTCCAGAACATTCCTGGGAGAGTCTGCAGTGGAAACTACTTCTATTACTTTTTCACCAAACCTGGATGGATGTTTTTTCAAGAAAAAACTCCACTCACAGTCTGTTGGGGCAGATTTATCAGAGCGACAGAGAAATGATAGGAAGTTATAGTGTTTAAATACTGTTTTTGCATTGATACGGTCAGGTGAAGTGTGAAAGTAGGCTACTAAAAATACCATAAACAAAGTGGTCATCATGCACAATAAACATATAGTGTGTTATTGAATAATAACACTGATGATGCAAAAGAGGAGCAAATTTAAGTTTTTTAAATGCTAATTCATATATTTGATGCGTTCTCGTTTATGCACAAGCTCCTTCCAGTTCCTGCCATGAGAGAGATGTTCAGAGTCCCACTGTGTCGGAAAAACCTCAAACAAATAATCCTTCATCCCCCTCTGCAATAAGGATCTATAAACAATCTGAACTGGACACTGAACACACCTGTCTTTGTCAGCTGTTGTTGTTCACAGACTCCTCTTCTTTTCAAATGTCTGTACTTCGTGTTTTAAAGGAAGTTGTGTTTAAGGTTTGAGCCCGGTCAAGGGACAAAGTCAGTCTCTGTTGGGGCAGACAGTAAAGTCTATCTTATTCTTGATCTGCAGATGAATGTAGCGAGGTTAGAATAACATTACTTGGCTCTGAAATCAGAAATAAAAACTAAAGTAAAGTTCAAATAGGCTTCTTGAATAACGTATTAAAGTTATACTGTAGCTATAAAGCCTTTTGTAACTCGGTAAGAAAGACTCACTTTTGTTCTACAACATTATCTTTAAACTTTACATTTTAATAAACCAGAAAAATAGACTGTAGCAGTAAACTTTATTCATAAAAACATGTCTAAATAGTTTTGATTATATATAAATAAATATCGCAGAGCTGACAGCCGTCCACGTCAGCGGCATGGAGGTCCTCCTCTGCAGCTTCCTCTCTCATGAGGGCCGACTTTACTTTTCAGTTATCTTCATTTTTGATTCTCATTTGTCTTATTTAACACTGACTCGTAAAGGGATGAGTTTAACTCGCTTTGCTGGTTGTAGAATATCATCCGGCTCCCCCTAAAGCATGCATGAACAAATCTCAGCTTTCCTCTGAGCCTGTTTCTGTCGTTCACACACAGACACAAGAGCGGCGGTGAGTTTGTTTACTGGAATGTTCTGCAGGCACGGAGAGAGAGGTTTCATTCAGCCCTGCTCACTGTTAACGGACTCGATCTCACGCCATTATCATTTCCTACAACATGTGGAGGCAACACGGTGTCTGAGTTAAAGTTAGTCTGCAGACAGACAGAGGGCGGGGGGGTACTCTTACCGTCTGGGATCCGCTGCTCTGCACACTTTGTCACAGAGAAAAGTTCACAGACTAAAACCCCGAAAAACAACAGGAAGGTCCAGAGTCTCATTTTTGCAGAGTTGAAATCCTTCACAGGGACCCGGTTTAGGTTGAGACCAATCTGTGCAAACTATGAGCGAGAAAGTCGACTGAGAAAACTTCACAGAGCAGTGTTAACTCTGCCTACACCCCCTCTCCCCCTCCCCTCCCCTCTCTCTCTCTCTCACACACACTCTCTCTCTCTCTCACTCTCTAACTCTCTCTCTCCTCCTCAATCTCTCTTTTTCTCTTTCACAACAAAACGTCTTTGTCTCAAACGACAGAGATGCGGTTCTTTAATGACCTCCTTAAATCGAAATTTGTACAAAACAATAATTTTATTATTCTGACTTTGGTCATGGTGAAAACCCATTTTTTCAAGCTTCATGCATCTGCGCCGCCCACTTCCACAAAGTGGAAAAAAAGACGATCCAGCTGTTCCGAGGACATGAAAACCTGCACGTAGCCTGGACTTCCCAAACATGCTCCTTTTTATTTCAGACATCATGCAACATAAAGATTCATAGACAGTAATTAGTTTAATTACCATGCACCATTTTATTGTACACTTCAGTAATCTTTTATATGCAGTGTCTAAATGTGATTTAATTATAACTATTTGTATGCTATTTAATTATCTTAAAACCTATTTTGTACTAAATTATATATTAACATTTAATAAGAAATGCTGCTTTCTTGCTCTTACTTTGTTACTTAACTTGTTTAAGGTACTTTAAAGGCTTTAAGGCACCACCACACCGTGGTCCATCAGAGGCCGCCCTATATGGATTCATAAATACTGAACATGGCCGTTTTGGACGCCCCTCAGTTTGTCAGATACGAGAGCAGTTATCAGGTCAAACCAACAGGTGTTGCAGTGATGGAAGCGGGCAAGAGAAGTGGTTCAGATAGAAGTGATTGTACCCGACCTAAAAAGCCTCTGCATGTTTCTAATAAGCTCCACGAGCAGAAACGTGCTCAAACTAGGATCAATATTGGAGATGCTTTTGAAAAATGGAGAGAGGTTAGAACACAGAAAGGTTTACAGACCCATGCAGAGCTGGATAAACACTGAAGCTTCAGTGTCCACCACATGGTGACCTGCGTGACTCTAGAGTAGGGCTGGGAAATATATCGAGTTTTTGAGATATATCGATATATTTTCAAACAAGATATAGGGTAAGACAGTATCGTTAATATGGATATAGTTTATGTTGCATTAAAATAACGTTATAGAGGTGCCAGTTCACCTTTTTCTCATCTCACTGATGATGACTGACTGTCTGTCCCTCTTAACCCTGCTCCTCCTCTCTCTCTCTTTTATTGTGTTTAAGGAACATTTTTATTTTATAATTTTACTTTTTAGATTCACAAACAGGTAGTTTATTTTCCATGTGTTTTCACTGTTAATAAAATACATAGAGTATCGCAATTCAGCTAATCAATATCAAGATATGAGTTTTGGTCCATATCGCCCAGCCCTACTCTAAAGAGGAGGGGGAGGAGGACAGCTCTCTCTACTGTTTTTAATATGGACTACAGTAGGCAACCCATTTTCGTGTCAGAGTTACATATTGCTCATTAAAAGTATTGATTCTGAGCCCTCCGAGGAGCACTTGAACGCAGCATTAAAAGGCATTTGATTTTACGACACTTCCGGTCACTGCCGTGCCGTCTTACGTTACGACAGTTGTGACAAACCAGAAGTGTCAACCGCTGGCTGTGGAGTTATTTCGAGCGACGGCTGATGTTTAAAGACCTGAAGGCGAATAAATAAACAAAAGCAGCTGAGACACGGCTCGCACACTCCGCTGAAGACTCTGAAAACAACCACAATGAGACAAACAACGACACACTTTCGACTGCTTTCCTTCACGACACTACCTAGCTAAGCTAACGTAGCCGGAAGCTAGCGACGCCAGTTTGCCCAACTCTCCGCCGGGAAACATGATCTGAAGCCGGGGAGGAGTTTATCATCGGAGCACGCTGGGTGTAGTGTTCAGACTCACAGCTGGGCCTCTTGTCTTTCAAACACAACATGTGGCTGCAGCAGAGACTAAAGGGGCTTCCGGGCTTGTTATCGAGCAGCTGGGCGAGGAGGCTCCTCATCGGGCTGCTCCTCTTCCTCATCTTCTACTGGTACCTGGGGGCGGAGCGCAGGTGGAGGTTCTTCAGCGGGACGGCCATGCCCGGCGGGGCGGCCGGACAGTGCCTGCTGGCTGAGATCCACAGGTGGAGCTCTCTGGTGGAGCGTGGGGAGGGGATCTACAGCACACCTCAGGAACAGCTGGACACACCTTTTGTGTCAGGTAACGGACATATAATGATTGACATGGACTCTAACAAACTGTGGGTGGCGTCGTCCTCCCTGCCCGGGTCAGCTCCCGTGCATCAGACTGAGTTCTCCCCCAGAGTGGGCGTGCACCTGGAGGGGAAGCGGGCAGAGGTTCAGGCCACCATGCTGTGGTTCAGGAAGGGAGCCGTGCTGTCGGTCCGCTGTGCCTCCCCGCAGGCCTCCCGGGACTGCGTCACCATCAGAGAGGAGTTCATCGCACACAGGAGCAGACCCAACGTGTACCTGCAGAGGATCCACATCAACAACCCGTCTGACAGGCCCGCCTCCCTGGACGTCTCCTCCGAGAGCCCCTCCTTTGGGAGCAAGTTCTCCTCCAGCGTGGAGACACTGGAGGACAAAGACATAGTGCTCGCCTCCGGCAGAGTGCCTGTGGAGAACAACCGCATGGTGCTGGTGGTGGTGGTCTCCAAGAAGCTGAACAGCAGGATTCAGGTCTCGGCTAAGTCTGAGTACAAAGACAACATCCTGTCAGTGGTGTGGACCTCAGAGCCCATCGAGTCCTCCAAGCTGGAGGAGACCTTCAGCTCGCTCAGAGAAGGAGCCAAGAAGGAGCTGGGGGAGCTGCTGAGGGACAGCGTGGAAGACCTGGTCCTCGACCACCAGCAGACCTGGATGGACCTCTTCATCTCAGGTGAGTTAGGACTGCATTCCAGTCTTCACGGGAACAAAACTCAGGTTTAAACCATTCCTGACCAGCGATCCCCATACACAGAACAAAAACCAAAGTGCTTTCCTTTAAATGCAAATTTGATCCACCAGATATTTTAAATCTAAAGGCAGTCACATATCAGGAATCCCACAGATCCTTCAATTTAGGGTCATGAAATGTCTTCAATAGTCTTAAAGTTTGACTGCGACATGTCTGAATACTTAAAACAAAAAAACTCAAACTGTCTAGTCAGCGTTATATGATTTTTTTTGTTTGTTATTTTTTGTGGATTTGCTCGCTCACATTCAAAAACAGTCATGGAGGAGAGAAGGAGAGGAAGATGCACAAATGGAAAAGTTTAAAAACTAGTCCTCAAGATGAAAAGCACAAACGCTACCGGTGCAAAAATGTTCTTGAAGTTTCTATGTTAGAGTCTTAAAAAGTCTTAAATTAGATTTTTAAACATGTGCAGCAACCCGGAATAGCTGTGAGCAAATACTAATAAATGCGGCTAAATGCTGCAGATACGAACTCTGAAGTGAGTTAACGGCACCCTGAGGTGTTTCTGTCTGGAGGTTTTGTTTGTTTAAATCGTTCAGTCTGACCCAATGTCGGTGTTTACTCATTTTGTTGCATCACACGTGTCGGGGGGCGGAGCCTCAAAGTTCAGTTCATGATGTGATTCAGTGATCTTCATGTAGAAAACACCTTCAATAAAACCAGGTGAAGAGGAGCTTCATCATGACGGCAGCAGACAGACACACACATGACAACAATTTAAACTACATAGAAGGCTTGAATGTACACTTTAGAATAGAAAACATGATGTGTGTTTTCTTTGTAATGTAGATACAGACTTAAATAGATAGATAAAACAACTTAAACAATTCTTCACACCGAGCTGTTAGTTTCTGTTTTATTTCACAGGTGTGATGCAGTTTCTCTCTCTCGCTCTCTCTCTCTCTCTCTCTGTGTGGATGCAACATGTCGGCTGATCTCTAACAAGCGTCTAAAGTTTAACCGGAAGTTTGACTCACAATGCTCCCTTTGTACGAGATCTCACAATCCTCACTGAGGGGAAATTTCACTCTCAACTAGTTCTTTAACACAGATGTGGTCCCAGCTGCAAACTACAATAATGCCTGCTTTGAAACTTGCAGATTAAAAAAATAAACTAGAAAGCAGGAAAGTGTGGAGAACTGTCGGTGATGAAACAGAGAAGTGAACTAGTCATGGTTTAAAGCTCTAAAAAGGAGCTTGAGTTCAGATTCTTTACAAACAGTCAAAAAAATAATAATCTGAATAATAAGAGGGTTTTTTTTCTTTTCTTTATTTCTGCTTCATTGTTGCTTCAGGTGTTGAAATGAGGAAGATCACAGACTCACACACCCCGTCGAGTCGCACCGTGAACACCACCCTCTACTACATCCTGTCCTCCACCACGGCTCCTCTGCTGGATCGACGGCTGAGCGGTGACGAGCGCGATCGACTCGAGTCCAGCCTCAACTACGCCGACCACTGCTTCAGCGGCCACGCCACCATGCACGCCGAGAACCTGTGGCCGGAGCGGGTCAGCAGCGCCGCTCAGATCCTGCAGCTGGTCACGCTGTGGACGCTGACTCTGCAGAAGAGGGGCTGTAAGGTGCTGGTGGCGGCCGGAGCACACGGAGCCATGCAGGGCATGGTGCTCAGCTTCGGCGGCCTTCAGTTCACAGAGAACCACCTTCAGTTCCAGGCCGACCCGGACGTGCTGCACAACAGCTACGCCCTGAGAGGGATCCACTACAACCAGGACCTGATCAACCTGGCAGTTCTGCTGGACATGGAGGGGAAGCCGTTCCTGCACGTGTCTGTGAAGCAGCAAGAGAAGCCGGTGAAGCTGTACGCCTGCGAGGCCGGCTGCCTCAACGAGCCGGTGGAGCTGACCTCAGAGGTCAAAGGTCACACCTTCCCCGTTATGGTGACGCAGCCCATCACGCCGCTGCTCTACATCTCCACGGACCTGCGCCACCTGCAGGACCTCCGCCACACCCTGCACCTTAAGGCCATCCTGGCCCACGAGGAGCACATGGCCAACAGGTACCCGGGCCTGCCGTTCCTCTTCTGGTTCAGCGTGGCCTCGCTCATCACCCTCTTCCACCTTTTCCTCTTCAAGCTCATTTACAACGAGTACTGCGGCCCTGGAGCCAAGCCGCTCTTCAGGAGTAAGGTATAAAAACTGTGTCATGAAGCTGGAAGCAAAAAAAACTGCAAATTGACCTTCTTCTTTTTTTTTTTTAACTCTCTTTCTCTCTCTCTCTCTCTGTCTCTCTCTCTCTCTCTCTGTGGGTTGGTTTCTCACTTTGGGCTTTCACCTTCTCTGTGAGTGAACTTTCTTCCCATCTCACCTGGTTTCATGTTTCGGAGTGGGTTTGCACAAAAAAGGTGATTCCACACTTTGTTTTTTGTGTTCTGTTGAAAGAGTTCATACAGTTTCTACTGCAGCTGTTTCCTCTGAGAGACTGAGAGCGATGAAACACCTGAAGCAGCAGTAGAGTCGTCGCCTTAATTCAACAACTAAAGACGTTTAAAACCGTCTGCTCTCCGGGTCACGCCTCGTTGATCACAATGGAAGGAAAAGAAAGCACAAATGTGGAAATGTTCTCTCAAATTAAGACTCTTCTGTCTTATTCTGTCGTCATCTCTGACGTTGTTGTGACTTTGAATTCTTAAAGGACCCTGCAGCGATTCTTTATTTATTACAAATCACAGAATTAGTGAAAGTCGTTTTCATGAATTTCCTCAAAACGCAGAATTCAATTTACAACTCTCTTTAGAGATTCAAAGTCCATTTCAGTGGACGTCATGTCTGCTTTTCATTTTTTAATTTAGCACTTTCTGCATAAACATGTCTAGAGGTCCCTCGTGGGGCCGATGGTTTCTCCCTGATGGTCATGCGGTGCTGGCGGTATCGTTGTTGAATCAGTGCTGAAAGGAAGTCAGACAATTCATCAGTTGATTGACACTTCATGGGGAAATGTTTTCCTAACTGCTAAAAGTAAATTTCAATGCACGACTGACAGAAAATGCTTTTTTATATTTTCTCAAAAATCCGCTTTCACAGTAGTGAGGAAAAATAGCCTCTTAGTGGAGGTCTAAAATCTGGAGTCCACCCAGTCTGAGACCGAGACCACACCGGGTAAAAATGCTTTCGATCCCAAGACGAGACCTTCATAAAGTGGTCTCGAAATCAAGACTGATTTGGAGTACTGCAACAATCCCTGAGGGGTTCACAAACCTTTGACTTGAGAGACTCCAAAAAGGATGCAAAGTGACCTCACATTAATGTGATTTGTAAAATCAAAAAGTAACAGTATGTTACAACATCCTGACAAACCCATCACAACAATCAGAGGAACTGTAGACAAACATTTGGGGAGCAGAACGTATGAAAGCTAACGTTTAAAGTTCTGCACAAAGTCGGGTTGTTGTTTCCACTTTTAGTCGTTTAGAAAATCCTGGTTTGGTTTAAAACGTCTCTGATTGTTTGAATCATACCGGTCCTGGATCCTCTCAGAGCAGAATCAGCCTTCAGTTGACAGAAAGGAAAAAAAGATAAATCAAAGTAAAAGGTGGAGCTTAACGTCCAGATAGTCCAGTTTACAGACAAAGATAAGAACCTGTCATAGGAGGAGGTTCTGCGGGTTAAATGCTCGCCTGATGATCAGCATGGACTGTGTGCTCGCTCTGCAACAACTCTCTCTCTCTCTGCTCTTTTTTTCCTGCGTTTTGATGATGTTTTATATCAAATCACTCAATTAAATTAAGAAAAAAAAATCTCTGGGTTGGCTTTGGCTCTTTACTCTCTCGTCCTCAGCATGTCAGTGTGGGTGTTTCCATCTCTCCTGGGTGGGTGGGGGTGTGATGTGGATGAAGGTGGATGGTGTGGCGGGGGGGGGGGGGGGGGTTACTCAGCTGTTCTAACCCTCCGCTCTGACTCCACCAGGTCGCCGGCAAACGTGACGATGGCTGCTGTGAAATCAAGACCGCTGCTTGAGCTCTGCACACGTTAGTGGTTCTGCTTGAGCTTCAGCGGCATAGCAGACTTTAGTGTGTGTGTGTGTGTGAGTGAGTGAGTGAACGACATCTACTGTGCAGTTTACATCAAACAAAAACACCTAATTTAACACTTGAAAGGTCATATGTTCTCCTCCTCCTCTTCAGTGTAAATAAGTCTCAGAGCTCCTCAAAACATGAGTGTGAAGTTTCTTGTTCTAAATCCACTCTGATCCTGTATTAAGTCAAAGAACGACTAAAACATCTTCACTGCTCGATCACTATTCTCTCATGTTTGAAAATAAAAAAACGAGTCACAGTTTGTCCAACAGGTGACTTAATCATCTGCCCAATAAAAAAAACCTCTGAGCAGTTAGGTGATCTATTATGTCAGCGTTAAATCCATTTGACTCAAAAAATAAACATGTTCCGAGGTCTGTCAGTAGGACTAATATCGGTCGATATCGATGTTGAACCGATGCGTCGATGAATCCCTCAGTAAAAAGTTTCATCAGCCAGATGTTTGGAGCTACGTACGGTGGCTGTGAAGGTCAACCGTGCAAATATTTCATCATTAAGAAACAAAAACATTCACTAGAAACCAAACATCACTTCAAGCAAAAATATTTCATGAAACACAAATTAATTTAAAAAACGGATAGAATTTTCTCAATTGGTAGACCTCTTCAGAACGCCATATCAAGCCGCGATATTTACGCCCCTGTGACGTTTTGTCTTCAATCTGAATGTGATGGAGGAGTAATCAGGGGATGAAGTGACCCCCCCCTCCCCTGTACCATCTTCAGAGGTAGTAACAGAGGCGTTACAGAGGAGAGTCAGGATCAGCTGAGCCTGCGGGGGAGCACAGCGCTGTGTGTGTGTGTGTGTGTGTGTGTGTGTGTGTGTGTGTGTGTGCATGTCTGAGTGTGTGTGTATGTGGAGCACCTGCTATGAATATTGCGCCGTTGCAGAATTAATATGAATACAAAGACGTGAAGACGGCTGAGCTGGGGGGAAAAAAAGCCGTATGAATGGGGTTAGTGAAATGTTTTTGGATCTTTCTCGAAATACTTTTGCATTTTGTAAAATGTTTTTGGAGTTCGGTAAAAAAAAAACATTTATACGGCTGACCTTCAGGGCCACCGTAGAAACACACTAAACGTCTGAACCAATCAGATGCTGAGTTTAGGTGTAAAATCGTGCAGATGTTCTGAATAATTCCTTCACTAATCCAAACACTTTGCAGCTGTGAATGACACTAAATCTATCCATGTGTGAAGAATAAATGTTAACGGCTGATTGGCTGTTTCAGACATTTTCTCACAGATCTCGTGAACTTCAGACCAGATATTAATAATGTTCATATGATTGTTTGTATCACAGTGTGTGTTAACCTGTTCTTCCACATCCATTGTTGTGTTGGGTTTTTATCTGATCTCTTGATTTTCTGCTTTATTATAGATTTAAGTTAATTTATTGAGCTTGTTGCAATCAGATTTAAGTGTCCTTGAATGGTTTGTGATCATGAAGTTTGATTTAGTCTTTCATTGGGGGGAAATAAATGACTGAGTTGTGATTATATCGTCTTGAGATTTCATGGTTTACAACAGATGTATGATTTTTGTTTTTCATGCTAACAGAGACCGCAGACCGTGGACACATTAAAAACTTAAAAGTTTAAAAGTGCACAAACTTAAAACTGCTTCATTTTGAGAATATCACGTCACAGGAACTCCCTCGTTTTTTTTAAAAACCCTTTAAGGAGCAGTATGTAACTCTGACCCCTAGTGTTTAAAATGGGTACTGCAGTCTAAATTCTAAACATCATAGAGAGCTGTCCCCCCCCTCCTCTCTAGAGTGGATGCTCACACAGGTCACCATGTGGTGAACACTGTAGCTTCAGTGTTTATCCAGCTCTGCATGGGTCTGTAAACCTTTCTGTGTTCTAACCTCTCTCCATTTTTCAAAAGCATCTCCAACATTGATCCTAGTTTGAGCACGTTTCTGCTCGTGGAGCTTATTAGAAACATGCAGAGGCTTTTTAGGTCGGGTACAATCACTTCTATCTGAACCCGCTTCCATCACTGCAACACCTGTTGGTTTGACCTCATAACTGCTCTCATGTCTGGCAAACCGAGGGGCGTCCAAAACGGCCATGTTCAGTATTTATGAATCCATATAGGGCGGCCTCTGATGGAATATCCGCAATGTGTGTTGTCACTTTATGTAAACCGGATCTGAGGCCCAACCCAGCTCTGATGAGCACACACACTTAAATATAAAAACAGTAAGAGTTAAAGAAATCATCAAATGTTTTATTTTTCACAGTGTAAAAATGTGCATTCCTGCCTTTAAAAAAAAAGGACAAAACCGATGACATCATTGTTGACAATAAGATTGTAAACAACCGTTGACCAGTAAATGACAGTGAGCTTTTTGTTCACAACAGATTCTGGAAAAAGAAACAACAAACATGGCGGCGTCTCTGTGGCTCAGTTTATACGGGGGTGAATTATAACGTGTAGTAAAAGTAGAAAAATATACTTTAGATACTTCTTTTTTTTTTTTTTTTTTTAACCGTGGCTCAAAGGAGAGTCCGCTCGGACACATTTCAGAAGTTCGGCACTTTGGGAAAAGAAGAACTGAAATGAGTCACAGACTTTAAGTTTGAACCTGATTTATACTTCTGTGTCACAAAGGCACTCATGACCGTCTCTTCCTGTGGAAACAGAACACAGACTGTGGATGATTTCTGCTCCTGCAGAATAATTAAGTGCCATACTTCACAGTACGTCTACTCCCACTGGCTCGAGGTGAATTCTCCTGATTATATCCTGCTGAATAAACACGAGTAAAAAAACTCCTGGAGTTCTCTGCAAGTGTGAAAGCACTATAAGGCACTGTGAATACACAGAGTGGGACACCAATATGACTCGGTTGCAAAATCACTCAAATTGCAAAAAGGGCTCAAGTTCCTTCTGTACATGAAATAAACATAAATTGATTAAGTAGGATGACGCAGCATTTTGTCCGACCTCTTCGCAGAGACATTTAGACACAGAAGTATAAATCAGCCTTGACCTGGAAACTTTTCTGCATTAGGAAATGCATTTTTTAAAAAGGACGATCAATGCTCAAATATCCAAACCGTCATGAAAATTATCAATAGGGCGGATTTTAGCACTAAATATCTTTAAAGGCAGGGTTGGTCATTTTTGAAAACTAGCATGATTTTTAAAGTAGCATTCCCTCAGTGCTCCGTCTAAACCCCCCCAGGCTTACAACTGTTACAGATGACAGATTGTATTTGTTCCTTTTTCAGAGAACATGAGTTATTAATTTCGGTCAGGACCTAAAGACAATTTCAACCAGAATCTTAAAAAAAGTGGATCTGGAGGAAATTACCAACCCTGCCTTTAAAGGTATCGACCAAATCCTCCACAATAAATAGTTTGGAAAGAGTTTGAGCTAGGCATTTGATCCTTTTTTAATCCAGATCTTTAAAAAATAATGTTTGCATTTATCAAATCAATGCAAATCTTCTTTGATTGATACTGATGAGTGATTGGCTCAGAGCTGCAGCTTAACATGTGTGAGTGTAAAAATCCTTTAGACGAGGAGGACTTTGACCCTGTGGTGAATGTGTTGGAACGCTCCGTGCAGAGAAAACAGTGCAGGACCAGGATAGGTAGTACAAGTTTGGGATAAGGGATATTTCTCTCTGCACAGGATGCTCAGAGAAAACTCTCTTCTTATTAAACAGGGTGAGTAATGAGAACAAATTAAACGCTAACCACACACCTCTCCTGGAGGAACTTAAAGGTACAGTCAAACATTATTAAAACAAATGTGATCACAACACAGCCTACCTAACAGGTAGTTCCTCTGTACCTCTGAGGCTCCACAGTGAAGAGATCAAACAGTCTGAGATGAGTCTGTGTTCAGCAGGCCGTGACAACATCCAGCAAACGAACTTTATGGTAGTTTGGGATCCTGAGCAAATCCTGTTTGTCCAGTAAGGGTGCACGTGTGTGTGTGTTAGGGGAGAAAGGTGGAGGGGCTACGAGTCTTTGAGCATGCTGATTTGGGCGAAGATCTTGAGCGCAGGTCCCAGTTTGATGTTCATGGTTGCCATCAGATGATCCTCCTTCAGCAGCATCAGAGCCTGACCGTCGATCTCCTGAGAACGGAACTCTTCTGCGATCTCCAGACAACCTGTACACACACACACACACACACACACACACACGCACACGCACACGCACGCGCACGCACCGCACACGCACATAATGTAAAACACGCTTCATCATGTTTTTGTCTCATGATCCGATTATCATGTCAACTGTTGTGGTTGCCCACCTGGCAGAGAGGAGATGAACTCGTAGACGTCCTCTATGTTCCACTGGCCGGGGTCGCTGGGCAGGAAGCTGTGGGGCAGCGAGGGCAGATCAGAGCCTTGCACAGCAGGAACCCGCTGGGTGGGCGACGGGGGGGACAGGGGTCTTTTGTAGCCTGACAAGTCCGAACACAGGCTGGACTCCCCCTGTGCAGGATGGACCAAGTGACCCGGGGACAGAGCAGCAGCAGGAGGAGGAGGAGGAGGAGGAGACGGTTTCTGCACAGAGAGAGCAGTCTGAGAGAGAGGGAGAGAGATTATCTGACATGACGACTTAATCGAATACAGACGGGCGATAACTCGGGTAAAATACATTTTGTATTGACCTTAAAGGCTTACTATGCGATTTTTTGATCACATAGTAACACACACGCACCAGCATGAAACCAAAACAACTCACGCTGCATTGTTGTGTTAGCATGCTAATGCTAGCGATCTTTATTATGCTCGTATCTTCACACTGCATGTAAATTTACCTGAAATGAGCGTGATCTAGAAACACAGTTAAGCAGTGAGTACAGTATGTTATTCTTCTTTTCTCTAGTCCCTCAATTAAACAACTTTTATACACGAGGGGAGGAGTCAGCCGGCCGTCCCGACGATGTAAACAAAGTGAAGATAGGACTCTGAAAGCATCACAGACAGTGGGACTCGGGTGTTAGACCCATTGTAGACAGTCATGACTCACAGAGTTATTTTCAGAGGATATACTTGATTTCTATTATATTTAAGTGTGAAAAATCACATAAAGCCTTTAAAGAAGGAATGAAAGTCGCCTTACCTTCTTTTTCGAGTCTAAACTGCAGATTTTGTGGTTTCCGTTCAGCATTCTCGGTTTCTTCATGTTCTCCAGCATACTTTGACGGTTTGGAAAGAGACCCATCCTCTTTGTGCAGCCCACATTGTAGCTACAAGGAAAAAAAAAAAAATTATATATATATATACACATCAACATTGGTGATGACAACTAGTCTAATAAAGCTCAGCTGCAGCAGTCTTTTCTAATATATGCATAAATTACAGGAACACTGCAAGTGGTGTAAAGATTGGTGGTGGTGCAAAGATTTAGACCTTAAGGAAACATGCTATGTTGAAGTGCTGGCTTCCTGTCTCGTCTCACCGTTTGGCGCACTTCCTAGAACAGAACCTCTTGGATCTTTTGAAGACGTGGGCGAAGTCGACTCTGCCGCACAGCTCGCAGGTCAGCAAGGGCTCCTGCTGGGCCTTCAGCTCTGAGGGGAAATGCAGTAAAAAAAAAAAAAAAAGATCAGCTGGACGCACCCAAACCGCAGAGGTAACGACACTGCCAACAACGTCCACAGAAAAGACATTTGTGGAGAAACGAGGTAAGCCTATCATGGTGCCGAAGGCCACATGTCCACCTCGGGTTTTTCTAGGCAGAAAAGCGCTGCACGTATGTCCTGTCTCCATGACAACAGTCTGTTGACAACGGCAGCTGTATGACTGACACTGCTCCGTTACTTTTCACTGCATGTTTTATATTTGAGATCGTTTATTTCCCAATCAGACACAAAGCGAGGAGGATGACGGTATAAAACACGACCTGTAGGGGAATATCAAACTGGAAAAGAGCGCCGGTGACGTCAACAGCGGCTTTCTGAAAAACTGAAAATGTTCAACTAGAGTGCTCAGAGCAGCCGCACAGAACAGGCAGAGCACTTGGAGAAAAAAAGACCCCAGGCACTTCAAAATCTCTCTCATCAAGGAAAACTATTTTGCTCAACAAAAAAGAAAACGCTAGTTGGACACAGGGCCTAATGCAGCCCGAATAATTTAAATGACAGAACATGATCTCACGCTCGTCTAATTGTTGTGTCTGTGATCGCCCTCGGGGCTTCAATTTGCACGAAATGCTCGTTGAATCATCAAACAACAAATTTAATTTCCAAACCTGTCAGTCAGGCTCACTTCACTGCCTTTGAGCAGTAATTAGACGGGTTTGAAAAGGTGAGAAAGAATGCAGGAGAGGAAATGATCTTTTATCGTTGTTCAATTAAATGCTTTCCATGATTTCTAACATGTCGAGGCGACTCCATGAACGCTCTCAAAGACTGATGAAATACTCCTGATATCTGCAGGAGGAGCTGTATGTCTGAACATTGATAGAAAGACAGATATTCTCATTATAGCGTCGTATAGCGGACGTCAGGAGTATCACCTTCACACCCCTCGAAGAAATAAAGAATAATGAAACTGTGCTTCCAGGCGGAGAACTGTAAATCTTAAGATGTTCACCCTTTGGGAAGATGCTGTCCATCTTTGAGTCTGTGTGTCTCCTGTAGCACTCGATGGAGAAAGACGGACGCTCCACCTGTAGACAGAAAACGATACGTCATTACAGCAAAGGATGGCATGGAAAAAAAGACAACAATAAAAACACCATTAGCCTGATTCTTGCTTGAATTGTGACATCATAAAAAATACAGAGTGTGAAAACAGAGAGGTAGTAAATCTATTTTTATATTTGACAGAAGAGAAAATTAAAAAAATAGCAAACATTAAGAGTTAGGGGTGAGGGGAAAATATTTTGATGATTTATTCCACTTTATTAAGTAATCAATAAACGCTAATAAGACATTAGACTTACTTTATTAATCCCTGAGAGTAAATTTAGTATATTCACTGTTTTTTTTTTCTATTTGGAGCATGCTGCACAATACAGAGAATTAACACATGCACAAAGAGGCACTGATGGAGAGATGTCACAGTGAGGGAGCTGCATACAGAAAGTTGGCAAACTTTTTCTAGGTTTCTCTTTTTGACAGTGCTTTCACAGTTGAACAAAACTCCTAAATAACTCCTGACATTTTTTGGATTGAGCTGCATGGGTAGTAGAGGAAGTAAGGACTCATTTAGGTTTTTAGCCTTTGCAACTTTATCTGCAACTTTTTGTGCCTGCACTCGAATAAAATTCAGTAGAAGTGGTGCTGAGCCAATGTCTGAACCAGGAAAATTCACTGCGGACAAGCTGGCAGAGTCGATGACTTAAATGATGTGATGCACGTTATTTAACTGAACCTACTCTTCTCGGCTTGCTAATCTTAGTGCTTTCACACTTGCACAAAACATCCTGAAGTTTCCAGAAGGAGCTGCATGTGTGAACGCAAACAAGACAAATTGTTTCACTCTGAGTTTCTCCTCCAGCCTACCTTTTTTTTTTCCTGCAGAAAGTCAGAGTGAGCTGATGTGAGAACGCAGCAGGATACAATCAGGAGAATTCACCTGGAGCCAGTGGGAGGGGGAGTGGGAATTGCAGTGCTCAATATTCCCTTTTTTGATGTCTTCAAACATTTTATATAAGCATCCTTTTTAAATCTGTTGCCCTGAATCAGTTGCTTTGTTCTTTATTCATTGAGCTTAAGGATTGCATTTGAAAACATCACTAAAAATTGCATTTAACCATTGTTAGGTTAAATTTACTCAACGTTTAGAGACCCCTTAGATGCAGTGGGAACACACAGGAACGTGAAAGATGATTGGTGATGTTCCAATGGCTCTTGTGTTATATTTGTGCCTCAACAAACACGTGATGAGCTTCAGTACTCACAGGGAAAGGTTCAGCACCCTCCTGGATCACAAAGCCTTCGATCAGGTGGGTGAGGACATGGGTCTTGTCTAACGCCTGGGCGGGTTTGCTCTCCCCATTGTGCTGGCTGCCATTAGTGGTCCCATTCCCAGAGGTCATGACTGGAGCACGGGCCACCCCTCACCTGCCAACACAAACAGCACAGTATACTCAACAAGTGCTGGCCACGTGGACCTGGAACCTGCCCCCCTCGCTAGCTGCTGTTCAAATACATGAAGAAGCTCATGTTCCAAACAAAGCAGATCCAATCACAGTTTGCCAAAAGTTATAGCAAAAGTGCAATGTTGCTTTTGTGCTTTACATGTAACAGGTGTCTTTTTTTCCCCTTGAGATTTTGAAAAATATATTACTCTAGAGCAATTTTCTTCTACTTTTGGCATTTGTTTTCTACATTTTAAGAGCACCCTCTTGTACTTCCAAGTTGTAAACAGGAGAATTAAGATTAAATTAAAGTTTAAATCAATGCCGATGTAAAGGGTAGATCCAAATGTGTCACAGTCTGCCTTTAGTTGTGTATTAGATATTACTGTTTATTCGCCATGAGCGTTACAATCTCAAATGTGCAGTTTTTTGAATGAAGTCTGGTGTGACCTTCCCTCTTCACAGTCCACGTGAACTTAGGCTAACCTTGAATCAAATCAGTGTAGCCCAGTCGTGAGAGGGATCTGCTAGTTGAATAAAAAGTGAATTAATTAAACTAACCAACGGCCTACAAAGCAGCGAAGTCAACTTTATTATCGAGAACAAACTGCAGAGTAGCTCGCTTACTTTTACGGTCCGAAACCCCCTCTGAATAAGTTAGAAAACAGGCGCTCAGCTCGGTAACAATGGTAGAGGGAAGACAGGCTCTTTGTTCAGCGGCTCCAAACAACGCTTTCATTTAAACACAGTTTACCCGCTTTAACGCCGACTAATGTTCGCCGAGGTTAACCGAATAACCGGCGAGCTCACCCGGTTACACGAGGAGGACACACGGAGTTAGAAACCGATTCATATCCTCACTATGTTTCAGCTTACGGTTAATTCGAACTGCAGACACAACAGTGCTGCGGCGTGTGTGCGTAATGACGAAGCGCACAGATTTACGTAAATCACTTCCGGCAACAACCTTCAGAATAAAAATCCAAACATTTACCGGAATATTCCTCAAGTATTTTTTTTTTATTCTTACAAAATGTGACTGTAGCATTTTATAAACATGTAGTAAATATAAATAAAACACTGAATTACAAGTGTGTATAGGATACAAAGATAAGTTGAACAGGGGAAAACAATTAATTAAATCCCAAATTAATTAATAAAAATATGTAATTAAAACAACGAAAAATAAAAATAAAAATAATTACTCAGATGTTTCAGCAAAAAAAACTCCATAATTGTACATGAGTTTATAACTTGTTTGTTGTTTTGCATTTTATACGGAAGCCCAAAACGGCAAACTTCAATACACTTTATCTAACCGGAAAGTTATTTTTTATGGTTGTTTTCTCAAAATTTAGACGTATTGATGTTTTTATCTTGCGATAACAACGCTCGTGTCCGAGATAACGATTCCAGTTTATAACTTGTTTGTTGTTTAACATTCTGTACGGAAGACCAGAGTGGACATACTTCAATACAATATATCTAACCATGATATCAGTGAAGTTATGAGTTTTATGGTTGTTTACTCAAGATCTTAATGTATTCATGTCATAATCTTGCAACAACGACGCTGGTTTCCTGTCGTAGCGGTTAAATCTAAGCCGTTTTCTTAAGAACTCGAGAAATTAACTCGTTATCACTGGAAAAAACGGCATTGTTGTCTCTAGATTGTGAGATAAATAAGTCAAGATCTGGAGAAAAGAACCAAAATCTATAGTGGGAAAAGGGAGCAAATATAAAAATGTATGGATGTATGTTTGCTTAGGACTTCCGTATGAAAGCAAGTTCTGCAAGTCAAAATTCTTAAAGAGGACATACACAAAAAAACATTTTAAAAAAAATCTTCTATGTGCAATATGTCGACCAGGTGTGTTTTTAAATGAAATACTTACAAAAGGATCTTGGCTGTTTTTGCTGAAGTTGCTCTCTCTTTCAAAAATAAATTGTCAACCTTTTTCCACTCGAGTGCACTTCTTCAACGTACCTCAGTAAATGACACAGGTTTCAGTTACAGCCCTCACTCCTTCACTATGTTACACATTTATTCTGAAGGAAAAGTGTATGAACTCTGGGATAATCATGGCTGCCTTTACACTGTTTGTAGTATGAGCAGAAGTGGTGAATGGGAAATGACAGTCACAGCAGGGCTTTGAACACATGTCTCATAAGCTGATTCTGAGTATCCAATGGGACTAGCAGCCCCGCTGTGTGGGAACCAAAGACACACAGGTCCAGACTGAGGCCGCTGATGAAGAACCTAAACAACAAAAGCAACATATTAAGGCTGAGACATGTCGGATAAACTTTGAATTTTCCAACCTGAGGTACAGCAGTCAAATGTTTACAGAGTCAACACAACATTCATAACTCTGTGTTCTATATTTTAACATTCCCATGAGCACTCACTCACTTTCTTTTAATGAATTCTAGAGATTTCACATCATCAGACACAGTGTCAACATCTGCAAGAAGGCTAACTAAATAAAATGCAATCAAAAAAAGTCAAGAGTCTGTGTTTCATCTGTTGAACAGACGGTCAATGGCTGCAGCTTAGCAGCACAAACACTTCCTCTGCTGTGATTTCACTTTCAAATTGAAAGCACACAACTTCATTATAATGACTCAAAGCAGTCAAAGCTGACAACGTTCAGGGTTGTGAGTCTAAACATTAAGTTTCCAGGTCAGCGTTATGACTTCAGGTTATGTTCTCGATGACGGATCTGACTGGAAACTTGTATGTTCCAACTTCTGAAATCAAATGGAACAAAATATAATTTTCTGAAATGATAAAGGTACCTTACTATATGATCAGACATTAAAGAAACATGCTATGTTGAAGTGCTGGCTTCTCTGACAACAATGCAGCAGCCAGTATGTCCTCCTTCTAACTTTAGATTCTGGTCCTGAATGCTCTGGATTTGTTTGGACCAGAGAAGGTAGACGGTTTTAAGACCCCCACACGGCCGTTTTGGACGCCCCTCGGTTTGCCAGATATGAGGGCAGTTATCAGGTCAAACCAACAGGTGTTGCAGCGATGGAAGCGGGCAAGAGAACTGGTTCAGATAGAAGTGATTGTTCCCGACCCTAAAACCTGACTGTGGTCCTCCCTCTGATGCTCGCTGTGGCCCTCCCTCCACTCTCTGTGGCCCTCCCTCCACTCTCTGTGGCCCTCCCTCCACTCGCTGTGGTCCTCCCTCTGTAATGATCCTGTGCAGTTTGAGTCTGAGGTGATCGAGCTGCAGCACGAGGCTCATGTCATCTCTGGACTTGATGAAAACAGAGTGTTTCGCTTCAGGGACGCTGTCCTCAGCTTCTTTTAAAAGACGGTTCATAAAGAAGAGCAGGGTCGCTCCCAGGGGGGTCTCCCAGGATTTGGAGGGGGACTGTCAGCTGTGCAGGTGAGACACACACA